TGACATGCAATAAATTATATCACTTCTGAATTTACCTATATTGAATTTATGTAATGCAGCTCATTTTGTGGCAAGGACTACATAATTCATGATACATACACACATGCACATTGATAAATGGATTTTTTAGACTTAAAAGATAGCAATTAATAAACAACTCATTTGTCACAGAAAAAGCTCTAAATGCTCAGATGACACTGTCATATCTATGCACATGCACAACCAATTAAGACATGTGCATTTCCTACCTTCTTACTTATAATGTACTCCCTCTGTAAACTAATATAAGATCTTCTAAATAACTACTTTAGTGATCTAAAAGATCTTATATTAGTTTACAAAGGGAGTATATAACATGATCCGTTTCAAGTTTCATTACATCACCCCAGAACACACAAACAAAGAATTTCAAGACACAGAGGAACAAGATAAGTACACATAGGGAGAGACCTCGTGCAGCAGCCAAATGGAGAGGCGTAGACCCTTGTCCATCAGGTTTATCTGGATTAGCACCATGATCAAGAAGATACTGGAAAGTGTCCACAGTGCCAGCACTAATTGCATGAGCCAGAGGTGTATAGCCTATCAGGAACATCAAAGTAGAAGAAACTAAATAAGAGACTCATAAACGAAACAACAGAAAATTACCCAAGAAATAGAAGAAAGTCATGTAAAGGTTTTGCAATATAAACATGCATCTGTTTCCAGAATACACATGCAAACTTTTTACATACAACAGCACATTCAGAAGTCGGAACTAGGAGCAATAATAGTCTTTCTACTGAAACAACTCTGTCAAAACAGTACACGCTGCATCTGGAATAAATGAACTTGATGAGATTAGTGCAAACAAAGTAATGTGATGTATGATTGAAACTCAGGGCCAATTGACAAGTTATAAGCCTTAGATTTCTCAACAAAATAAGCTAAATCAAGTCCGAAAAATGCACAACATTTTTGGCATAAATTAGTTCAATTCCCGTCCCACTTCAAGGCAATCGCCAAGGTAAA